CCCCCAATCACTTCCACATATGACAACTTCAAGGCCATATACCTGTACTAAGATGACCCCATGGGAGTCACTGTGGAAGTTTCAAACTTCGTTATTATAAAGACATTAGTAGATCAAGAAAGCTTGATAGATAATATGTATTGGAAAACATTCAAATGGCTCATGTTATCGAAAGATGTGATTCAATCTTATGATGACTAGATAATAGGGTTTTCATGAGAAAGAGTGGACAAGAAGGAATATATTGACCTTTTCATGAAATTTAGAGAAGCACTAGATATAAAACAATCAAAATCCGGTATCTTATCGTAGATGATTTTTCTTGTTATAACATCCTTCTTGGAAGGCCATCTGTTAATGTCCTAGGAGCAATATTATTCACCTTTCACCTTGCAATGAAATTCCTGTTGTCATCTAAGGAGATAGTGACATTGCACACAAACTAGAGAGAAACTCAAGATTTCTATCCTTTGACACAATGATGTATCCTTGAAAAGAAGGATGTTATCTAACCATGTTAACAGATTTAGACCCACAAACTCCTTACAACTTTGTCAAGAAAAACATGGACAGCCACTAATGTCAAGAATACAAACTCCTTACAAGCTATCTGTATGCAAAGGCGGCTAAGAACGAGACCCTTCTTCTAACCATATGAACAAGTTGATACTTGGAACTTTTATTTTATCTTTCCTTTACATTTTTTTGTAATTTATCGCTTTCTTTAAATGCTTTCATTTACTGCTTTCATAAATTTGTTTACTGCTTTGTCTAGAAACATAGTTTTTCTTGCTTTCATTTTACTATTTTTACTATAAATACATTCAAATCCCCCTTTTTCTAGCATTTTATAAGTGAAAATTAAGATTTAAATAATATTGACCAATTATCCTCAAGAATACAACCTAAGTCAACCCTATTATTGCATTTCCTTTCATAAATTGCAAATATTTGATTACATATAGACGACAAGATACATATTATTAATCAAGGACTTGTAGGCAGGATGAGTCAAGAGCATACCAGCCAAAGATAAGACAATGCAAAATTTCTTTCCAACTTTTGTTTAAACTCTTTGTCACTTACAGTCTCTTATAGCCTAGGGGTCTGGTGGGTAGAATGAGCTTTGAGCATACCGATCAAAGATAATGAAAATTTGCTTTCCTCCTTTCATTTAGACTTTTCTTCACATATAGTCTTCTCGAGTCTAGGGGGGTAGTAGGTAGAATGAGTCGGGAGCATACCAACCAAAAATAATGGAAATTTTATTTCTAAGTCTACTTTTAATTTCTTTATCGCTAAAGGCAGCTCTCTCGAACTTGAGGACTAGTATACTCTAGCCATACAACCAAAAGCATAATGGGTGAAGAGCCCATGACAATAAAAGAAAAGGCTCATAAAAAAGTACTATAGATAGATGAGAATTCTTAGATATGAATATTGTTCATTTATCATACATATTCCCTATATCGATACCATTAGTTAACTTAAGCTTCAGAGTATCTTTTACAAACATTCCGACAATTTCTCGAGTCAGAATTCAAATTATTAGGAAGCATCATCAACCATGTCTCGACAATAACATTTGTGGAGGTTTTTAAGGTAAGAGTTCAGAACCATATAAGAACAACAAATCATAAGATTATTCATCATTAGAAAGGCACAATGAAACAATAATATATTATGTTAATTTGTTTATTTTTTTTATTTTTAAAGTAATTTCATCAAGCAATTCTTAAAAAAATTCTTAAATAAAAAAAAGTGTGGGATGAATAAGTTTGTATACAAGAAAAGAAAATGAAATTTGTCAAATTATTTTCGTAAAATAAAAATACTATTATATATTATTAAAAATTTATTTAATTATTTAAATTTTCACCAAAAAAGTAATAAATTTTTTACCATAAAATTAGTAATTTTTAAAAATTGTTTAATCAAATTATATTGATAAATATTAATTAGTATTATGTATTTTGATTAAATTAAAATTAAAAAATGTAAACAATTTGAATGTGATTTGTTTAATGATAATGTGAAATAATAGAACCTATCCCAATATTTTTTCCAAATAATTCATAAAGTTACTATTTCATGTCTAGATATGAAAACTAATTCTATATAATTATTCCCATTGGAATTATCCTGAGATACACCAATGAAACTGTACTCCAGATACGGCTGGTGGATGGTCGGTTATCAATGAACAAGTCAAGAACCCAACAAGAAAAATTTAATGGTAAAATATTTTTTATATGTAAATATCTATTTATTATAATTAGAATGTATGATTTTTATATGATATATTAATTACTGTCTTATTTTTTAATTATTATAAATGAAAAATTAATTTTATGTCAAATTATAATTAATTATAAATATCACTTATAAAAAATTAATTATTTTTTACAAATTTTCTTAGAAAAATTTATTTAAATTTAAGATACTTATTTTTTTACCAATTTTTATAAAAATTTGTAAAAATATTTTCATAAAATATAACATTTTCTAATAAAGTATGTACGATCAAATTAAAGTTCCCCGAAGTTTTTTTTTTATTATTTTTGAATAATATGTGATAAATTATTTATAATATAAAGCTAATGAATTTTTTAATAATAAAAATAAAATTTTAATAACATAAGTAATAATATATACAAATTTAATAACATAATTAATAATATATAAAAATTAAACAAAATATTTGAATTATATTTAAAATTTATCTATTCAAATACTATTTCAACCAATTAAAAACTTTGTCCATGCACTAAATGCGCTATCTCCAATTAGAAACTTCTATTTTTTTTTATTGAATTGAATGAAATTTGAATCCGGTTTATTGTTAATTTTTAATAATTTTATCATATACATATATATATATATATATATATATATATATATATATATATATATATTTATTTATTTATTTATGATGAGAAGCTCGTAATCTTTGTCCGTGTGAAATGAGAGACTTTTTCGAACAAAAAGACGGACACGTCTATTTATAAGGTGTAAACAAGTCAAATGACCAATCGCGTGAGAGTCAATATTAGAAGGGATTTTTCTTTTTATATTAACCTCATAAAAAAAGTGTTATATATGTGCATGTCATAATAATAAAATATACCTAATACATTATTATATATATGATTCATCTGTAACTTTATTCAACACAAATATACCTAATACATTATTATAATAAAAAAAGTGTTATATTTATCAAATATATATATATATATATAATATTTTTAAGATTTATTAAAATTATATTATTTTAATTTATATATATATATATACATATTAAAGCTTTTTTTCTAGTAAATTCATTAAAAAATAAGATAAATAAATAGCATAGGAACCTAAACTAAGGTAGTATGCACCTATTACAAAAGAAATCTATCTTAATACATCCGGTAAAAGATATTCTATTATCAATGTCAAGATTAGCAAACTTATCAGCGTTATCCTCTTCAAATATAGGAGTGATTTTGAAGATGATACTTTTAGTCATCTCCATGCAGCTGATCCAACAACTCTTGAGTGTACAATTCACACTCCAAAGTTGTGTCTAGATTCTGCTAATAATCATTTTTTTTAAGTTATATAATTAATTATTTATGTAATTTTAGAATTTTATAGAAGATATGTGAGTTTTACTTGGACCTCCAATTGGGTCATGGGAGAAAAAAAAAACACGTAAGTCTTACATCAAGTGGAATAAGCCTAAAAATGTCAAATCTGAGCACTACAACCATGCATGTTCGGAAGTCCCCACCTAATATATTTATTGTCTTCTTATTTTTATTTTTTTTATTATTGTTATTATTAAAAAATGGGAGTAACATTGCTTTTTAAAGTTTGTATAAGAGGACATACATGATAATTAAAAGTTAAAAAAAAATCCATTAATTGATCAATCTTTATATTACCGTCACCCATATTAATAAAATGTAATTATTGACTAGCATTAATGAAATATAATTAGAAGATTTTCTTTAACTCCTTGGTTATTGCTAGTGATATGAATAAAAAGTTAAAAAAAATCAACCTATTAATCAATCCTAACCAATGTATTTAAAATAGTATCAATTGGCAAATTAAAATGTAATTCAATCATATTTAATAAAATAATTTATATTATAATATATTTATTATTAATAATAATTTTTATATAAAAAATAATGAATATTATAAATATAAAATACAATAAAAAGTAAAGACGGATAATTGTTTAAATAATATAAAAATATAATAAAAATAATTATTATTTTGAATTGACGTGATTAATATAAAATAAAAAAAATAAAAAATTATATTTTTTAATTTTAATCTTAATTTTTTAATAAAACTAGTTGAAAAAAATTAATTGAATTTTTTATTTTATTGATTTTTTTTATATACCAATTCAATTATAATTGGATTATTTAAAAATAATATTCTTGTCCCGATTACACTGATTGAAGCTATGAATTGATTGACCTTTCTTATCTAGTTCAGTTTTCAAAAAATTAATCCATCACTTTTAACCTATTAAAACAATAGACACATTTTATTAATTTACTTCTAATTATATTAATTAATGCTGGTTAATTCTATAAATAAACAATTAAAAGATAGTTAAAAAATTTCAATCCATGGTCAATAATCCCTAACACTTTCAAACTATTAATATATAGATTAATTTCTTAATAATTTTTTTTAAATTATTCATTAAATATAATAAATAAGAAAATATTTTTTAATTTTAATTATTTTAATATTGTTTAATTATTTATTAATAATATATTATTTCTCCGTTAAATATTACTAGAGCCACTGGTAGTGAAATCAATAATTGAAGACATATTTAGTGTTGACTAAAGGGAAAACATTGTTACGTTGTGATGCAGCTAATCATAGAGAGTGTGTGGCTATCTCTCCTCCACTCCTATATATCTACGCCAATACCTACATTATCTTTGTCTCGTTTGTGTGCAGAGTGAAAGCTAAGAGTGGCTGAGATGATCTCTTCATCAACCAATCTCAACACAGGAGAAGAAAAGAAGCTAGAAATAGAGAAGGAGGTGGCGAGTGAGGTTGTAGATACTAAATTTAAATGGGATGAATACAAGGGAAATCAGCCATGGAAAGAGCAAATCACAGTGAGAGGATTGGTTGTGAGCATGGTGATTGGAACCATGTACAGCATAATAGCCATGAAGCTCAATCTCTCAGCCGGAATAGTTCCTAACTTCAATGTCTCTGCTGCTCTCCTTGCTTTCTTGCTTGTCAGAAGCTGGAACAAAGTGATCCACAAGGCTGGTTTTATCTCCAAACCCTTCACCCGCCAAGAAAACACCATCATATAGAGACTTGTGCTGTCTCATGCTACAGCATTGCTGTTCATGGTACATGTTAATATATAGTTTTGAAAGCATCAGATCAATCCATATACATGTAAATTTGCACATGTTTTACCCCACATACATATATACTTGGTGTTGCAGGAGGATTTGCTTCTTATCTTTTGGGATTAAACAGGAAGACATATGAGTTGACTGGAGTAGGAGCTGAGGGTAACAATCCAAACACTATTAGAGATCCTGGATTTGGTTGGATGACTGCCTTCCTTTTTGTTGTTTGCTTTGTTGGCCTCTTTATCTTGATTCCACTCAGAAAGGTAGAGTTGCCCATCATATCACCGTCTATTCACTCTCTCATCCACCGCTTAAATCCTATCTGTAATATTGTCTCATGTGTTCCACATGTCTTTTTCCTCCTATAATCTTCTTAAGTTGACAAAACAAAAGTAATCATTGATAATTTCATACTCTTAATTAATTATTATCCATATATTTCATAATCCTATAATGAATTATCTACCTAGTCCCATGTATTCGTAATATACATAATAAGTATCTATAGAGTCTCAAGCAAAAACTATAGATAATCACTAGTCACGAAAAGAGCTTTTACGTCGTGTATTTAGGCGCTTTTTACGTCGTATTTAAGTCCGATCGTAAAAGCTGGAGACGTAAATTTACGTCGGATCCTTTACCTGACGTAGATTTACGTCGGTTATGAAGATACTGACGTAATTTTCAAGTGGCATATACAATAAACAGACGTAAAAACCTTTCAATTTAAAAAACAGAAAATTTACGTCAGATACAAGATATACGACGTGAATTTACGTCGCGATATACCATATGCGACGTAAATTTACGTCGCATACAAGATATATCGACGTAAATTTACGTCGCATATACCAATATGCGACGTAAATTTACGTCGCATATACCATATGCGACGTAAATTTACGTCGCATATGGTATATCGCGACGTAAATTTATCGCCGCATATTAGTATATCGCGACGTAAATTTACGCGTCAGTATATACCAATATCGCGACGTAAATTTACGCTGTTTTTTTAAAATCGGGTTTATTTACTCGCTTTACAACTAAAACCTGCAAAAATTACAACCAGGACAGATCCAGAAGCGCTTTCTTTGCTAGTAAATTAAAAATATAATATTATATAATTCAAACTACATAATAAAACAAAATAATACAAACATACAAACTAAAAAATCTATTACAAACTAAGCTACCTATACAAACTAAGCTACCTATACAAACTAAACTAAACTACATAATACTACACAATATAATATGAACAAAGAACATAAAAAATAATGTACTTAGAATTGTAGAACAAAAAATTTTGCCCATTGTTCTCTAATTTCAGTAATCTCAGATTCTGGTAATGGAGATGGATCTTGAAATACACGAAACATGAATTTGACTCTCGTAAGCATGCAACATGAATAAAGTTAAATAAACTTAACTAATGTTAAAAGTAATTACCTCCAGTCCAAGAATCAATTAAACCCGCACAAACTATGGCTTCTCATCCAATACATTACATAAGTAACCACATTCAAACGAGTCAGTTTGCTTATTACACCTGAAATGATGAAAAAAACATAATATTATTTTCAAAATTGAAATATAAACAATAATTATGGTATTCACTTATATAAATAAGTTTCTAACCTAGGATAAATGAACCGTAATGTCTTTGTTTAGTGTTTTCCACTTGAACATTAGTCCTGCATACCGATTCTAAGTGAAAAAAGTCATATATTATTCAATATGTATTCACAATTTAAAAACATAATTAATGAATAAAAGATAAAGTTACCCTTGTAATAAGCTTTTCATTTCTCGACTCGGCTTCAGATGTAATGAACAAAACCATACCACAGATGTAATCCCGGGTATGATTACAATTAACTCGCCAATGGGACCTACATTGTATGACATAAAAATTAGTTACAAAAATATAAATTAAAATACAAATTAAAATACTAACCCTTCAATGTATGGAGCCAAATATATATGTCTTCTGAGTCACTCATCCATGTTTGCATATATTGTTGGATTCCAACCTTTGTATTTCCGCATTTTTGGATGGATTGAGCTCAATAAATCCGTATACTTCGGATTTTTCTTGTTCCACACTCAAATTGTCAAAGTACCTAAAACAATTAATTATAAGTTGAATATAATTATTATAATCTTAGAAACATAAATGAAAATGACTTACATTGCCCACAATTGTATGATGGAAATGTTTAACATGCAATTTCCCCAGCAATTTCTAAAGCATCGAGCAAGGAAATGTACTGATGGAACACCTGGAATTGTCAATTCCAAACACTCTAACATCCCATTAGTATCCGACACGTGTCTCTTCCTCAACCGTGGTAATACTAGCTTAACAACATAGAGATGGGATCATCATCACATTCATGCAGATCCTCATCAATAATAGGTTGCTTTTTATGCTTAGCACGACGCAAGTCCTCCTAAACAAATGATAACAATTAATTAAACATTTATATAATTATAATACTAGAAAAGAAGTAAATAGACAATATGTATATATATATATATATATTACCTTGGTCCGATGGCTGATAGTGGCATAACCAAACGTCTTGGCCAAGCCAAGAATGTCCCGCTTGCCTCGCCCACTAATTGAATCTCTTCATTAGGAAAAGGCACTCGGAGCATTAGCATCATTAACTTCATCAACTACTACTCGTGTCCAGTCCGGTCGTAGAGGGACACCATGGATGGTTAAGCCACCCTCAAAAACTCGACCAACAGCCACTAGACGCGGGGTCATCTTCAACATATAACTCACACCGTGTGATGCATCGATCCGAGTATATTCTCCCGAAGGATCAACAGTAGTAGCAGCACAACTCCCTTTAGTGCCGACTCGAACAATATCATGTTCAATTGTTTGAGGTGTTCCTTGAGTCTCGTTGTCGAGAGCGGCGAGAGATTCAATTTTCTCATCAAACTCTTGCCGCAAGGATTGCCTTATTTGATTTAACTTTTCTTCAAACCGCATCTCCATTTTATGCAAGGCCTCCCGGCTGCAAGAGTCGGCAGTGGTCCTTCGTGATGTTGGACCAAAGTAATCACGAAGGCCCCGTGTTCCACCAAAGCACCACGCACACGTCCCGAGTAACTGGTTTTCCTATGGTCACGCTAATATATCTTGTCGACCATGAGGAATAAATGATCCTTGGCCGGTCTCGCTCAACTAAATCATCCTACAACACATTAACAATAATTAAGTCATACACTAACTTTCAAATTAAAATCAATTCAAATTGACATTATAACTTACGATTTTCTCGAGCAATGATTCGTGCGCACTCGAAGTCATTTGTCCATCGATTTTGTCCGGCCGCCTTCCACATCTCGATAGCGAGGGGTGGAGATGCAAGGTCAGTAGAATCAACTCCCGCCGACTCTTCTCTCGGATTTCATGAGACGTTGCTCCAATAATGCATACCCTCCTCGTGACAATACATGAGGTGCATCATTCAACCTCCGACGTTGTCAGGCGCCTTGTCTTTTATCCTCGCCAAGAGGGGTCCATTCGGCCGGCACAAAACCGTAACCAATCCTCCTCACTAATTTGATACTTTAGACATGGAGATTCATCTCGAAACTTTCCAAATACATACTCCCGTGTCAAGAAAGTCTTAAAGTCCCTCCATCTAATGGCAATGGAGGATAAAATCTTCTTCCTCATCACCTCGCTGTTAGGAACATCAAAATTTTGTCGTGAAATGACCAATAAATGTTAAATTCAATTAATAATGATATATAAAGTATTCAACAAATATAGGAATACCCGAACATCCCGCCACATGAGGTTCTTCTCGCTTTCCTCAACATCATCCCAAGATGGAGTAGTAATCGAACATGGTGTCGAGCTAGTAGTCCCAAATAGCTCTTAAACTTAGCAAAGATTTGGGCCGTATGCCTTACCGTAACGTGGATCAACTTCAACTTGAGTTTTCTCTCTAGCTACCCTCCTTCGTCAACCCCTTTAACCGAGTGACAGATCTACCTTTATCACCACTTCCGCCTCCCGCCATCGCCACTACCACTTCCAAGCATCAACTGTGGAATCCGACATATCCCGAAAAACAAAACAATATGAAGTCAACATACTTTATAAGTTTGAATAAAAAGAACTAGAAAATGTGAAGATAAACACCTATTATGTTGGTATGTTTTCCCATATCCCTTCATCATGATCACTTCGAATTGCATGTATGTCATCAACTTCATTGTCAACTATGTCATCAAATGGTCTACTTGAAAATGAAGGTGTTTCATGTATATCTAGAGACTCATCTTCATGAATTCCGTGCATGCTTCTTCCTTCTAGGACAATTGACCATCTCTCATTACATGGATCCTTGACATAAAATATTTGTCTCGCTTGATATGCCAAAATAAAAGGTTCATCCTTATACCCAACTTTACTCAAATCAACCAAAGTAAATCCTAGGTCATCCGTTCGCACACCCGTATTCCCTTCAACCCATTTACACTTGAAGACAAGCACCCTAAAAGTAACATAATCAATTTCCCATATCTCTTGTATGACCCCAAAATAACTCATAGTAGTCGTGATAGGATTTTTGTCTTTAGAACTAGAAAATGCATAGATTCAGCTTGAATTGTGACCCCACTATTTTGTACTCTACCTTTATCATCTTCTATTTTTGAGTAGAAACAATAGTTATTAATGTCATACCCACCAAATGTAATGACATCACTATTAGGCCCACGAGCAAGTCTCAAAAGTGTTTCGAAGCATTAATCTCAACATATACCCTTTTTTTAAACCAAGAAAGGAAACTTTTGTTATGTTCATTCAATACCCATTTTTCATTCATTCGTGGATGTGTTGCCTTTATTTCAGCTTATGTGTTGTGATATGTAAGGGATTACTTCATCGTTGTTGTTCAATATGTATAAATGTGCTTGGTCAACTTCTTTCCGACTAACATTTTTAATCTTCAAATTTCGAGTACCCTTACCTTCACATCTTCCATCATGTCTCATCTTAGGAATACCTATTGGTTCCGATTTTGACATATATCCTTGACAAAACTCAATGGCTTCTTCTGCAATGTACCTTTCCACAATAGAAGCTTCGGCCTCGTATCGATTCTTCACATATCCTTTTAAGATCTTCATGTATCTCTCAACAGGATACATCCATCTAAGAAAAATTGGACCACATAATCGAATTTCCCTTACCAAATGGACTATCAAATGCACCATGATATCAAAAAATGAAGGGGGAAAATACATTTCTAACTCGGCACACTATTACAATTGCTTCATTTTCTAATTCATCTAACTTTTTTGGATCAATTACCTTTTTACAAATGGCGTTGAAAAACAAACATAACCGAGTAATAGCAATTCTAATGTAGTTGGTAAGATGTTTCGAATAGCCACTGGTAAAAGTTGTTGCATCAACACATGACAATCATGAGACTTTAAACCAACTAATTTCAACTCTTGCATAGACACAAGACTCTTAACATTTGAGGAGTATCCTTGTGGCACTTTGACCTCACGTAAACACTCACAAAAGCTTCTCTTTCTTTCTTTGATAGAGTATGACAAGCCTGGAGGTAAGTAAGTGCGTTTTCCAATTGATTGTGGATGTAATTCGAACGTATACCCATGTCCGCCAAATCTTGTCTTGCTTTTATTCCATCTTTTGTCTTTCCTTTTATGTTAAGCAATGTCCCAATTACACTATCACAAACATTTTTTTCAACATGCATCACATCTATACAAGTGTCTAACTTCCAACTTACACCAATAAGGAAGATTGAAGAATACTGATCAAGCTTCTTCCAAATGTTTTTCTCATTGGATTTCTTTTGGGTCTTTCCAAACACAATATTAATATTTTTCACTTGCTCATATACTTGTTCACCATTGCGTGGTACTCGATGCAACCGCATTCTCCTCGACATCCATTAAATGCTTTCTTCATTTTACGATATGGATGGTTAGCAACTAGAAACTTTCTATGCCTATTGTACGCAGCTTTTTGTCCATGTTTCAATTGGATATAACTTGTGTCTTCTTGACATATAGGACACGCTAAATGACCTTTCACACTATAACCGCTCAAATTACCATATGCTCGGAAAATCATTTATAAGTACAAAATAACATTGCACGCAACTCGAAATTCACTTCGTGATATGAATCAAATACATCCACTCCTGCTTTCCCACAACATCTTCAAATCATCAATTAAAGGACTAAGATATACATCTATGTCATTTCCTGGTTGTCGAGGTCCCGAAATCATCATAGATAACATCATATATTTTCTCTTCATGCATAACCAAGGAGGCAAATTGTAAATGATCAACATAATCTGCCATGAACTATGTTTACTACTTAAATTTCCATAAGGATTCATCCCATCTCGTAGCTAATCCAATTCTCAAGTTTCTTGGCTCGCACCAAATTCTCGAAAGGTTTCATCAATCCTTTTCCATCATGGAGAATCACTGGATGTCGAAGAAGATTGTCACATTTTCTACCATTTGCATGCCATGTCAAGTTTCTTGCATCTTCTTTTATGGCAAATAATCTTTTAAACCTAGGTATAATTGGCAAATACCATAACACCTTAGCAGTGGGACCATCTAGTTCTTCCTCACCACTACTTTCCTCAACTTTGGTTTTGAACCTCGACAAACCACATGTCTGGACACATCTTTAATTTAGCAAAATCATTTCGTACAATATACAATCATTAGGACATGCATGTATTTTCTTGTACTCTAAACCCATCGGACATAATATCTTCTTTGCCTCATAGTTACGAATAGGTAATGTATTATCTTCGGAAGCATCTCCTTCAACAACTCCAATAATTCAGTGAAACTTTTATCACTCCATCCATTTCTTGCTTTTAAAGTAAACAATTTTAAAGTTGCCGATAATCTTGTAAAACTACATCCTATGTACAATTGTTGCGCAAAATCAGATTTCAAAGAATCATATAGATGTGCTTTCATAAAATGTTCTTCACCAATATCACGTATCATATCCTCTAGATTATCATCCATCCCTTCATCAAAATTGTCTCGTAGTTGATACAGTTGGGATGTCTAATATTTCTCCATGCCATGTCCATATTAGTATAACTCTTAATAATACCATAAACAAACAAGTGATCACGTATATCCTCAAGTTTATGACGTAATTTGATTCAAACAACTAACACATGGACAATAATATGTCCCTTTCATAGCTTTTCCATTTTCACTAGCAAATTTCGTAAATTCCTCAACTCCCTTTTCGTACTCTTCACTAATACGACGTGCATTCATCCAACTTCGATTCATATTATGTTATAAAGTTTCGTCACTCCTAAAGATTTAAAAATTATATGTAAAAAAAATTAATATACAAACAACAAAGCACGTTCCAACAACAATGGAGTGTGTAAACCGAATGCACTCAAACAAATAAACAAATAACCGCATTCCAATAACAATCCAAGTGGAGACATTCATACTATAACGTGATTGAGATCCCCAAAACAATCACTGATTCAATGTAAACATATAGCAATGACAATGAACACTAACCTCGAGTGTAGACGAAAACCGATTTCAAACTCGAATCCAATCGGGGAGAAAGATGAAGTTCGTCAAATGACACGACAATGTAGATGTTTTTCACCGTAAAACCGCTCGCAAATGGTGTGCAGAGGTAGTCGTTGTCGTCGTTCTCGCCGTCGTTCTAAAAACCCCGGTTGCGCGAGACGAGGAAGTGGGCCGGGAGGGAAATAAAATAGACTTTTTACGTCGCGCAGTGTAGTAAGCTTGACGTAAAAGTCATCTTTACGTCGCACCTGGAGGCGCGACGTAAAAGGCCATCTTTTACGTCGCGCCTCCCAGGTGCGACGTAAAAGATGACTTTTTACGTCTCATATTGGGGTGTGCGACGTAAATTTTTTGTCCCGTATTTACAAAATTGCCACCGCGTTTTATTTACGTCGAATATACGTGCATGCGACGACAATTGGGTGACGTAAAAGCCATATTCTGCACTAGTGAATAAAACGTATGACTGTCAAAATGTTTATTGTTCAGTGTTTTTAATATTTTAAAAGAATCGTATATTAAACCTACAGACCATAGTTTTAAGGAATATTAATTGATTATTAATTATCCAATAAATTTTAGTATTAGTATAGTTGATTGACTGCATATAGAACCTAAGATAGCTCATTGACCGGCACTTGGTTCTTCTTCAACAGATCATGATAGTTGACCTCAAACTGACGTTTCCGAGTGGATTGGCGACAGCTGTTCTCATTAATGGTTTCCATCAACAGGGGGAAAAAGTGGCCAAGTACACATTTTATTTAGTCCTCAAAATTCTCTCTTTTATTTATGTATTTATTATTATTATTATCTTCCAATACGAAAATCTCTTAATAATTAATATTAAATTTAGATATAATTTATGTCTTTTTATAACTTTTTATAGATTAAATTAGTGTTATGACAACTTTTTCTTTATAAGATTTAATGAGTTAGCAAAGTAAGATATTCAAATTTTGCACTTAAATGAAAACTTGTCATGTTAATAAAAAAATCCTCAACTCGTGAATCAATGGATAAGTTAAATGTTTAGAATAATCTAAAAAATATTTTTGATATACAATTATGAAAAATATATAAAATTATAAATGGGATAATCATTCTAGAAATATATAAAAGTAAAATAAAATTCTAATTCTTAATAATTTTAAAGTTAAAAAAATCTAAAACTGTCTAAAATATTATTGATTAACTTGGAGGTGATATATCAAGTCTATAATAAATAGGTAATACCCATGTAATTTGTCAACTAATTCAAACTCATCCACATTTTCCTTCTAACATTTCTCAATTATACCTTTATAAACTTCTCATTACTAAACAACAAATTGCCTTCTCCATTCTCCTAAAATATAAGCATTGGTATTAGATTTACGTACGAGTATCTATTGGACGTGAATACAATATCCAACTATCTCAAAACTCTTATACATTTCATATCAATCCTAACCAATGATTAATGTCAATCTTTCTTCATCTATTTTGGTACCTCTTTTCATAGGAGAAAGTTGACTTTTGAAACATTAAAATAAAGACATTTTTTTCTCTCAAGATCTATTGGAGATTATAGAAGATAACTTCATTATTCCTACAAATATTTCCACACTAACTACTATTCAAAAGGAGTTGAAGGAGAGCAAACAATTGAAGGAGAGCAAGCAAAAGGACTCAAAAGCATTATATATTGATATAACAAGTTGTTGTTTATGCTATTTTTTCTAGAATAATGAATGTTATAAGTGTCAAAGAAGCGTAGAACATACTACAGGAGAAGTAAGAAAGTGTAAAGATAAACACTATTAAACTTAAAACTAGGTGTGAGTTTGAGTTAATGGGCATATAGGAGCATGAAACCATTAAGTATTATTATACTAGAATAAAAGAGATAGTTAGCCAATGAGAGTATGTGGAGAAAATATTCTTGACAACAACATTATTGAGAAAAATCTATTTTCTATTTCTCATAAATATGATATAATAGTAACTACAATTGGAAAAATCAAAGATCTATTTACCTTATCGGTGACATAACTCATAAACTCTCTTGAAACATATGAGAAAAAATTGAAAAGGTAAAATGAAGAATTTGTCAAAAATGTCTTTCAATAAAAAACTCAAATTACAATATCAGAATAAAGAAATTAGAGGAAAGATGATTGAATAAATTTATAGAAGTAAATAAAACTTTAGAAGTTTCACTAAATCTAGTTAAGGCAAATATCCTCCATATGACATATGTAACAGGTCAAGTCATATGGAGAAAGATTATTGGCATTATGGAAAATCACAATGTCAATATTGCATGGAACTTGGACATGTGGAGAAGAACTATTGTAGCAAAAACAAGTATCAATCAAATGTTACTAAAGAGCATGATCTTTAACAATATCTTTTTTATGTTACTCAAGACTCAAGTGATGAAACAAACTGATGAAAATTTTCTTCCACTTTAACCCAAGAGTGTTAAAAAATCTTTCAAACTTCCAAGTTCTTAAAGAACTCGGTGAAGTTCTATCTCTAAGGAAGGATCCTTGAAGCAAAATTAGGAGAAGATTAATCCTATTTTACCTTTAAATGAACAAGACAAGCAAAAAGAAGTTCTATTTATTCAAAGGGCCAAAAACAAGGTTCAATGGGTTCTATTTGTAGTTGAAGTTCCCTTTACACTTCCGGAACCAAATAATGCAAGACTTATAAATACACATGGTCGAACTCCTCCTTGTATGCAACACACATTTTAATAAATTTTAGAAGTGGTGGCTTCATTATCTCTTCTCCCGTGTAGTTGCATTTGTAGCTTGGTTCTCCACGGAGATGGTTGAACATAAGGCCCAATTGAGGTCTAATTTTAAGCCCACATGTGCTTTTACACAATTTTACAATTACAAGAGAATAAAGTCTTGTATAAAATTTATAAGACTAAGAAGCAAAACGAATTTCTTAATAAACTATACTCCAAAGTAGGAGGGTTTTCTTTTAGGTTTCTTCTTCTGTACTCCTAGTCATGAACCTTATTAAGCATCTAATGTGTTGTATCTTAGATGGTCTTTCATCAGAACCTCCCTCTTGAGAAGGATTTGTCTTCATATCTAGATCATCTTCGTAATTAGCAACCCCCGCAAAAGGAGATAGATCACAAATAGTAAAGGTAGGGGTTGATTCTGTATTGATGTGTAAGATCTAATCTAGCAAAAACAATAGGATATCAATCCTTTTTTCAGCAAGTCACTTGATTTTCTAGCTCTTCAAGTTTAGTCATATAAGCATGCCTATTGTGTAGGCTTGCTCCAGCAACTAACTTTATTTGATGTTCTATTCCCCTCAAAAGTGGAAGTCCAAGAGGTATTTCTTTGGGAAATAGATCATCAATTTCTTAAAAAATTCTTTTGATTCCCATGTGATAGAGAATCAAGTTCATGACTTGTGGTAACAAGTGTCAGTTTACAACAGAGAAGGAAAATAACTTATTCAAACTTAAAGAAGATTTTAAATTTTTTTGTTGAACAACTTCTTTAGAGGGGACACAAACCTCCAAACCCTATTCCTTCTCCCCTTTTATTCTTTTTTCTTTTCTTTGATTTTATTTTTTTATTTTTTTTTTCCTCTCTCACTTGTTAAGGTGCAAGAAGACACAAGACTACTTTTTTTCTATCTTTATGAAAGAAAATTGTTTTATTGGTGTGACCATCATGTATAGTTTATTTATCAAATTGTCATGGCCTTCCAAGTAAGATATACTTAGCTTCCATAGGAACTATATCACATAAAACTTTATTTTTTATAATTTCCTAAGAAAATGAGTATACTTGTTTATTAATTACTATACCACCATCATTATTGAGTCATTGAAGTTTATAAGGTGTAGGATAAGGTGTAGTAGTTAAGTTTAGTTTGTCTACCAACGTAAAACTACAACAATTACAACAAAACCCATTGTTCACAATCAAAGAATAACTGTTTTTCAAAACTTGTAAGAATCCTTCCCACCATTAATAATTCTCCTTCACAAAGAATTTCTTCATTAGAGTCTTGTGTTTCCCTTTCACTAGGTGAAGAGTGAACTTCATCCTGACTTACAATATTCTGGTCCTTTAGAAGCATTGTTTTTCTATTAGGACACTTAGAAGCATAATGTCCTCTACCAAGACATCAAAAATATTAAATGTCTCTAGTTATATTCCCCTTGGAAGGTTCTTTTTGTTTATTTTTTTTCTCTTTCCTTTTCTCTTTCTCTTTATTTTTCTTTTTCTCTATCTTTTTATCATGACCCTTCATCCCTAGATTTGGAGGTTGTTGGAGTCTCTAGAGCATCTCCATCAAATTTTTATCATAATAGGAAGGTACATGTCTTTTTCTTAAGGCACTCATAAGTTCGTTCTAGTACCTTACTTGGGGCGCATTGCGTATTTTTCTCTCACAAGGGAAGTTTATCAATACATAGCATACCCCTTGAAAATGAGGTTATCATGGACATCTTTCTCTCCTCATCTACTCAGTGACATTCAAAGAGTTGTTCGACCTTCATCTCCCAATTTAAGTATTCCTAAACATGATATTTTCTTGAGAAGGAGGAACATAAAGCTTAAGTTATTTAGGATAATTATTTGACCTAGACCTATGGTGGTTCCTGAAGGAAGGTTGATAGTAATCATTATTATGATGACTATTATACCTTTCTCTATTTGAGGACTAAATTTCCTCATGAAATTATATCCTTCAACACCAACCCTTACCATGTTTTCTATTAGGCTTCTCTTCCTTTTGCCTCAATAATTGTGCAAACATATCCATTTCTTTATCTCTCTTTTTTTCATTTTTTTTAGATCTCTAAGCTCATATCTTAAGGACTATTTTTCACTAAGGTCCTTATAACTCCCACACATAGTAAAATAGCTAGAATGATTATGGTCAATCATTTTTTTATTTAAATTCATGTTTGAAAGATTTTTCACAAAAATGGAGTGACAACTTTTCACAAAAGTTTTGAGATGATCCTTAGTTTTTGTCATGGATAAAAAAAACTACTAATGAAAAAGCTTTTAAAGAAAATAAATTGTAAACTAGACTTGTCTTAGTGTGAAAGTCCACGTGACACTTATGAGAATCTTGAGACACGTGCACAAATCTAATTGCTTACTATTACGAAATTCACCTTAAGAGAATAGACATTTTCCAAGACACCCAACAAAAGAAACAAAATAACACAAAAGCTAGAAAATACAAGACAAATTCATGATAAAAATAACAAGGTTTTCAATGATAGTAACCACAAGTTTTTTCCTCTTTATGACAAAAATTAGTGACGAAAATTCCTAACCACAAATTTTCTTCTCGTTTCATTTTTTAGTTTGCATCTAACTTTGTCTAACGTTTAATGTGATTTTCCTCACAAGCGTTTACTCTCTTGTGAAGCTCTTTTTGCCTCTTAAATTCATCAATAATCTTCAACTATTCTCTCATCAACACCTAATATACTACCTTGAAGAGATGTGAGTTTTCAAGAAAATAATAGAATATTCAATTATTTTCAATTTACTCAAGAATAAGATCAAAAATCAAGAAAAGCTCAATTAGAATTGGACACTTTCAAATGAAAGAATTAGATGTGATATATTCAAGAATCCCTAAGAATGAAAAACAAAAAATTAAGGCAATTTTAAAAGTAGGTACACTAAAAGAATCCTAATGAATAACTCTAGATTTTCAATACTAAAACAAAAACAAAAACAAAATGCAAGTTAAATAAAA